GGTGGTGTCAACAGGTACGAGGTGTCAGAGGCAGAGTGAGGCTGGCCAGGTGTCAGAACTTGTACTACGGTCAACACACCTGAGTGACTCCGGCCATTACGTCTGTACCGCCACCAACACCCGGGGCCCTCACTGCTGACTTCCACCTGCTGGTCAGGTACAGTGATGGTACAGTGATGGTACAGTAGTGGTGCAGTAGTGGTACCCCACCCAGTAACACTATAGTACCCCTCCTCCCCCCCAGACGTGCCGGGGTCTCTCAGGAGTGACGGTGACGGAGGAAGGATCTCGTCTGGCACTCCTGGCTCCTCCAGGACTCCAACGCCCCCATCACCGCCTACCTCATCACCTTCGACGCTCAGCAGTCACCTGGTGTGTGTGTGTTTACAAGTCATTTTATATTGAGTGGTGTTGGGCAAGGTGGCTGAGGTGGACAACATAACTGTCACCCGCCAGGTGTGGACGGGCCGCAGGAGGTGACAGTAGGGGGGACCAGCAGCAGGTGAGGCTGGACACTGCGGCCAGCCACCACCTACACGCTGACAGTTGTGGCGGGAGAACCGCGTTGGCCGCAGCCCTTCCTCCCCCTGCCCTCAGGGTCAGCACACAAGAGGAGCCCCCAGCTGCCCCCTCAGGGTGTTAACGTGAGTACCTGTGTGGGTTGTGGTGTATACTACAGGTGTTATGTTACAGGTGTTATGTTACAGGTGTTATGCTACAGGTGTTATGTTACAGGTATTATGCTACAGGTGTTATGCTACAGGTGTTACCATGTTGCAGGTGTTGGCAGTGTCGTCTACAGCTCTACAGGTGTCCTGGGAGCCGCCGCCACAAAACCTGACCAACGGCGACGTCCCCGGCTACTACCTGGGCTTTATGCCAGGTGAGTTCCCCACACACCTGGGCTTTAAGGATGCCAGGTGAGCTCTCACACACCTGGGCCTTAAGGACGCCAGGTGAGTCTCCCTCACACACCTGGGCCTTAAGGACGCCAGGTGAGTCTGCCTCACACACCTGGGCTTTAAGACGCCAGGTGAGTCTCCCTCACACACCTGGACTTAGGACGCCAGGTGAGTCTCCCTCACACACCTGGGCTTTAAGACGCCAGGTGAGTCTCCCTCACACACCTGGGCATTAGGACGCCAGGTGAGCCTCACACACCTGGGCCTTAAGGACGCCAGGTGAGTCTCCCTCACACACCTGGGCCTTAGACGCCAGGTGAGTTCCCCTCACACACCTGGGCCTAAGGACGTCAGGTGAGTCTCCCTCACACACCTGGGCCTTAGGACGCCAGGTGAGTCTCCCCACACACCTGGGCCTTAAGGACGCCAGGTGAGTCTCCCTCTCACAATATTGACGCCATTTTGACAATTAACCTGTTCCTCTCACCCTCACTTCCTCACCTCACCTCACCTCTCACTTCCTCACCTCTTATTCTCTCACCTCTCACTTTCTCCCTGCAGTGAGGGGGGGGAGGGGCGTATAACTTCACTACGGTGGGCGTGGAAGGCGTGGGCGTGACTACAGCCACCCTGGCAGGACTACGCCCACACGCCCGCTACGCCGTCGTACTGCAAGCCTTCAACTCTAAGGGCGCCGGACCTGCCTCACCTCCCGCCCTGGGCACCACCCTACACGACAGTGAGTGTGTGTGTGTGTGTGTGTTCATCTTATACCCACACACTTAATATAACGAATCACTTCACTTCACTTCAGCTGCCCATCACCACTTCCTTACACTCTCGCCTCCTCTCCTATAGCACTCTCTCACTCTCTCTCACTCTCACTCACTCACTCACTCACTCACACAGAACCGAGTGCTCCTCCCGGTCACGTGACATGTGAGAGTGTGACGTCATCAAGCCTGGTAGTGACGTGGTCGCCTCCTCCTCCGTCACAGGAACGGCGTCATCACCAACTACCGCCTGGCTTACTCCCACGCCTCCTCCCACGGTGAGTGCCTCCTGCCATGGTGACTGCCTCCTGCTGCGCCTACTCCCACGGTGTGAGGTCCCTCAAGTACACAGACACATACAGTATAGTAACTTAACATAGTGTGTTCCTCTGTGTTAGGTCACAACTTATTATTACTCTTAAATGTTTCTCAGTAATAATCACCGTTGTTCAGCTCGTAGTGTGTTCCTCTGTGTTAGGTCACAACATATTACTCTTAAATGTTTCCAATATCACCGCACCACCACAACATATTACTCTTAAATGTCAGAAATCACCGTGTTCAGCTCGTAGTGTTCCTCGGTAGGTCACAACTTAATACTCTAAATGTTTCTCAGTAATAATCACCGTTGTTCAGCAGTGTGTTCCTCTGTGTTAGGTCACAACTTATTATTACTCTTAAATGTTTCTCAGTAATAATCACCGTTGTTCAGCTCGTAGTGTGTTCCTCTGTGTTAGGTCACAACTTATTATTACTCTTAAATGTTTCTCAGTAATAATCACCGTTGTTCAGCTCGTAGTGTGTTCCTCTGTGTTAGGTCACAACATATTATTACTCTTAAATGTTTCTCAGTAATAATCACCGTTGTTCAGCTCGTAGTGTGTTCCTCTGTGTTAGGTCACAACTTATTATTACTCTTAAATGTTTCTCAGTAATAATCACCGTTGTTCAGCTCATAGTGTGTTCCTCTGTGTTAGGTCACAACTTATTATTACTCTTAAATGTTTCTCAGTAATAATCACCGTTGTTCAGCTCGTAGTGTGTTCCTCTGTGTTCATTTGCTGTGTTCATCTGATATATTTCTTGTTTTCGTGTAATATTTCTAAGTCTTTATCTGAATTACTTATACCCTGTTATTGTGTCATGTGTCAGAGTGTGGTGTCAGGTAGAATAATGTGTCATGTGTCACAGGGAGGAGTGGCAGCGTGGTGTCAGAAGGGTTGAGAGCCACAGTAGCTGGTCTGACACCTTGGACCAACTACACGGTGACTGTGGCGGCGTCAACCAGAGCTGGGGAAGGTGTACACTCCCACCCCCTTGTGTGTACTACTGACCAGGACGGTGAGTTACTACTACTACTACTATGACGATGACTACTACTACTACTACTAACCCATACAAGTAATAGACAAGTGTTTGGTCAAGCAGAAACAGTCGTAATATTTTAACAATAATGAGAACATAATGTTATTGTTTTTGTTGAACGTTGTTAATTGATATAACACCTCCTACCTCAGTAACACCTCCTCCCTCAGTAACACCTCCTCCCTCAGTAACACCTCCTCCCTCAGTAACAGTAACACCTCCTCCCTCACAGTGCCAGAAGCGCCGGCGAGGGTGAAGGCAATAGTGTCGGGTCCTCGGGCAGCCGTAGTGTCGTGGGCGCCGCCCGCACGCCCACACGGGCGTATCAGCCGCTACACCGTCCACTGGGAACCAGCAGGTGGGCGTGGCTCCGCCCACAGCCGCCGTGTGGAGCCTCACCTGACGCACCTGACCCTACATGACATGTCTCACACCACACACCAGGTCAGTACAAACACCTGACCCTACATGACCTGTCTCACACCACACACCAGGTCAGTACTAACACCTGACCCTACATGACCTTTCTCACACCACACACCAGGTCAGTACTAACACCTGACCCTACATGACCTGTCTCACACCACACACCAGGTCAGTACTAACACCTGACCCTACATGACCTGTCTCACACCACACACCAGGTCAGTACTAACACCTGACCCTACACAATATTATAGGTGTGTTTCACAGGTGTGGGTGAATAACAGGTGTGTCTTACAGGTATGGATGAGTGACAGGTGTGTCATACAGGTGTGGGCAGTTAACATGTGTCGAACAGGTGTGGATGAGTGACAGGTGTGTCTTATAAGTGTGTGTGAATAACAGGTGTGTCTTACAAGTGTGGGTGAGTGACAGGTGTGCCTTATAGGTGTGGGTGAATAACAGGTGTGGGTGAGTAACAGGTATGTCTTACTGGTGTGGGTGAGTAACAGGTGTGTCTTACAGTTGTGGGTGAATAACGGGTGTGTCTTACAGGTGTGTGTGAGTAACAGGTGTGTCTTACAGGTGTGGGTGACGGCGTCCACCAGGATGGGTGAAGGTCCCGCGAGCAGCGTGGCCGTGGTCAAGCCCACACACACAGGTACGTCCATACGTACACATGTACACTATGTTTACATCTACACACGCACATGTTTGGTGATTATATTAATAAATCGTATAAAAGCGACACACGCCCACTGTCAGTACCTGTGGGTGGTGGGTGGGCGTGAGTATCACTATAACACACGCCCATAGTGGCCGCGGGCGTGTGGTCGGTGGGCGTGAGTATCACTATAACACACGCCCATAGTGGCCACGGGCGTGTGGTCGGTGGGCGTGAGTATCACTATAACACACGCCCATAGTGGCCACGGGCGTGTGGTCGGTGGGCGTGAGTATCACTATAACACACGCCCATAGTGGCCACGGGCGTGTGGTCGGTGGGCGTGAGTAACAGTATCACTATAACACACGCCCATAGTGGCCGCGGGCGTGTGGTCGGTGGGCGTGAGTATCACTATAACACACGCCCACAGTGACCGCGGGCGTGTGGTGGGTGGGCGTGAGCATCACTATAACACACGCCCATAGTGGCCACGGGCGTGTGGTCGGTGGGCGTGAGTATCACTATAACACACGCCCACAGTGACCGCGGGCGTGTGGTGGGTGGGCGTGAGTATCACTATAACACACGCCCACAGTGACCGCGGGCGTGTGGTGGGTGGGCGTGAGTATCACTATAACACACGCCCATAGTGGCCACGGGCGTGTGGTGGGTGGGCGTGAGTATCACTATAACACACGCCCACAGTGACCGCGGGCGTGTGGTGGGTGGGCGTGAGTAACATTATCACTATAACACGCCCACAGTGACCGCGGGCGTGTGGTGGGTGGGCGTGAGTAACATTATCACTATAACACACGCCCACAGTGACCGCGGGCTTGTGGTGGGTGGGCGTGAGTAACATTATCACTATAACACACGCCCACAGTGGCCGAGGGCGTGTGGTGGGTGGGCGTGAGTAACATTATCACTATAACACACGCCCACAGTGGCCGAGGGCTTGTGGTGGGTGGGCGTGAGTAACATTATCACTATAACACACGCCCACAGTGACCGCGGGCGTGTGGTGGGTGGGCGTGAGTAACATTATCACTATAACACACGCCCACAGTGGCCGCGGGCGTGTGGTGGGTGGGCGTGAGTAACATTATCACTATAACACACGCCCACAGTGGCCGCGGGCATGTGGTGGGTGGGCGTGAGTAACATTATCACTATAACACACGCCCACAGTGGCCGAGGGCTTGTGGTGGGTGGGCGTGAGTAACATTATCACTATAAATATCACAGGCTTGTGGTGTGGGCGAGTAACACACTATAACACACGCCTACAGTAGCCGAGGTGGTGGGCGAGTAACATTTGTTTATAACAGCCACGCCAGTGACCGCGGGCGTGTGGTGGGTGGGCGTGAGTAACAGTATCACTATAACACACGCCCACAGTGACCGCGGGCGTGTGGTGGGTGAGCGTGAGTAACAGTATCACTATAACACACGCCCATTGTGACCGCGGGCGTGTGGTGGGTGAGCGTGAGTAACAGTATCACTATAACACACGCCCACAGTGACCGCGGGCGTGTGGTGGGTGGGCGTGAGTGACATTATCACTATAACACGCCAGTAATCGCGGCGGTGAGTAACATCATTATAACACGTCGCGGTCACTGTGGGCAGTCGGTGGGCGCAACACACGCCACCTGCGGCCGCGTGTGGTGGGTGAGCGTGAGTAACAGTATCACTATAACACACGCCCACAGTGACCGCGGGCGTGTGGTGGGTGGGCGTGAGTGACATTATCACTATAACACACGCCCACAGTGGCCGAGGGCGTGTGGTGGGTGGGCGTGAGTAACATTATCATTATAACACACGCCCACAGTGGCCGCGGGCGTGTGGTGGGTGGGTGTGAGTAACATTATCACTATAACACACGCCCACAGTGGCCGCGGGCGTGTGGTGGGTGGGCGTGAGTAACATTATCACTATAACACACGCCCACAGTGGCCGCGGGCGTGTGGTGGGTGGGCGTGAGTAACATTATCACTATAACACACGCCCACAGTGGCCGCGGGCATGTGGTGGGTGGGCGTGAGTAACATTATCACTATAACACACGCCCACAGTGGCCGCGGGCGTGTGGTCGGTGGGCGTGAGTAACATTATCACTATAACACACGCCCACAGAGGCCGCGGGCGTGTGGTCGGTGGGCGTGAGTAACAGTATCACTATAACACACACCCACAGTGGCCGCGGGCGTGTGGTCGGTGGGCGGGAACGTGACGGCGGCTTGGAAGGAGGACGTGAGTCTAGCGTGTGGCGCCGTGGGTGTGCCGGAGCCTGACCTAACCTGGACCCACCAGAGGAAGCTGATCCCTGTTACCCATGACAGGTGAGTCTCACCCATGACAGCTATGACTCACCCATGACAGCTGAGTCACACCCATGACAGCTGAGTCTAAACAGGTGTGACAGGTGTGCATGATAAATAATTGTCATTATCACACCTGTTACAGATATACCAAGAGGTTTGTTGTGAGGCTGAACTGTGTTACTGTGATGATTAACAGGTCACAGGTGTACACAGGTGGTACAGTACACAGGTGGTACAGTACACATGTTGTGGTACACAGGTGGTACAGTACACATGTTGTGGTACACAGGTGGTACAGTACACATGTTGTGGTACACAGGTGGTACAGTACACAGGTAGTACAGTACACAGGTGTTGTGGTACACAGGTGGTACAGTACACAGGTGGTACAGTACACAGGTGTTGTGGTCCACAGGTTCCGGGTACAGCCAGACGGGACTCTCACCTTGGCAGACATACAGAGAAGCGACAGCGGCCACTACTCCTGTACCGCCACCAACCACCACGGCAGTGACGCCGTCACCTACAACCTTACCGTGCTAGGTCAGTGTTACGTGTGTGTGTCTCAGTGTTACGTGTGTGTGTCTCAGTGTTACGTGTGTCTAACAGAGAGTTATATAAACCTTATATGTTAAGATAATAATAATAATAATAATACTAACAACAAACACATGACCACTACAGTGCCTCCGTCAGCACCTTCCCTCCACGTGACGGAGACCACCGCCTCCTCCATCAGGGTCCAGTGGAGTGTGGAGGACACGGGCGGCGCCGACCTCCAGGGAGCCACACTCCACTACAGGTGAGTGTTGCCTCCTCTACTGTACTGTACTGTACTGTGTTGTACTGTACTAGACTGTACTGTACTGTACTGTGTTGTACTGTACTAGACTGTACTGTACTGTACTGTGTTGTACTGTACTAGACTGTACTGTACTGTACTGTGTTGTACTGTACTAGACTGTACTGTACTGTACTGTGTTGTACTGTACTAGACTGTACTGTACTGTACTGTACTGTACTGTACTGCACTATAATATACTCTACTGTGGTGCAGAGGTGAGGAATAATGGTGCAGCAGCACAATAACTATGGTGTTGTCACCAGGTCAGCGGGAGGGGAGTGGGTGAGGGCGGAGGTGGACGGTGATCAGCGCTCCTACACGGTGACCAGCCTCAGGTGCGGCACCTTGCACCACTTCTACCTCACGGCTCACAACCACATAGGTGAGCACCACACCTGTAACACACCTGGCACACAACAACGTAAACAAGACTTAACTCACCTTCCTAATATGTGTTAAGTACTGTACAGTATGTTGATTTATTGTTTACATGCTGTGCCCCGGCAGGCAGCAGCACGGCCTCCTCAACAGAAGCGGCCCGCACTAAGGGCCGGCCACCTGAGGCGCCGCCACAGTTCCAGTTCGTCACCAGCAACAGCTCGCAGGCGACGCTGTACCTGGCGCAGTGGGGGGACGGCGGCTGTACCATCACCCACTTTAGTGTACAGTACCGCAGGGACTCCTCCAGGCACTGGACCACAGGTAAGGACCACAGGTGTGGACCACTGGACCACAGGTGTGAACTACTGGACCACAGGTGTGGACCACTGGACCACAGGTGTGGACCACTGGACCACAGGTGTGGACCACTGGACCACAGGTGTGGACCACTGTTAATTTTACCATTGTTTACATTGTATTATTAACTTTTATAATGTTTTAATCTCTGTTAGTAATGTTATTGTATGATCACTATATGGTGTTATAGTGTACAGTGATCACTATATGGTGTTATAGTGTACAGTGATCACTATATGGTGTTATAGTGTACAGTCATCACTATATGGTGTTATAGTGTACAGTGATCACTATATGGTGTTATAGTGTACAGTCATCACTATATGGTGTTATAGTGTATAGTCATCACTATATGGTGTTATAGTGTACAGTGATCCCTATAGGTGTTATAGTGTACAGTGATCACTATAACTGGGTTAAGACAGTCTCGCCTCTTACAGTTGGCAGCGAGATACCGCCCGCCCGCACCTTCGCTGTGGGCGGGCTAGACGCAGGTGGCCGCTATGAGCTGCGGGTGACCGCCCACAACTCTGCAGGAGCCACACCCGCCCACTACACCGTGACCACACCTGGCCAGGGCCTCCCAGGTACACCCATGTTTTGTGTCTTGACCTCACACTACAACCACGTGTTGTGTCTTGACCACACACTACACTCTTAATGTTGTGTCTTGACCTCACACTACAGTCTTAATGTTGTGTCTTGACCTCACCCCACCCCTTCACTAACCACTCCCTGGTTCCCCAGGAGGCGCGGGTACGGGCGTGGGCGGAGGCGTGTGGGGCAGCGCGCCCTCCACCTCAGGGGCGTGGCAGGACCCGCGAGTGTTGGTCCCGGCCGCTGTCTCCGCCATGGCGCTGCTGCTGACTGTGACCACTGTGTGTGTCTGTGTGAGGAAAAGTGAGTTGTTGTCCTCACTGTGTGTGTGTGTGTGTGTGTCATTGTGTGTGTGTGTGTGTGTGAGCAAAAGTGAGTTGTTGTCCTCACTGTGTGTGTGTGTGTGTGTGGAGCAAAAGGTTGTTGTCCTCACCTGTGTGTGTGTGTGTGTGAGCAAAAGTTAGCTGTTGTCCTCACTGTGTGTGTGTGTGTGGAGCAAAAGTTAGTTGTTGTCCTCACTGTGTGTGTGTGTGTGTGTGAGCAAAAGTGAGCGGTTATCCGCCACTTGTGTGTGTGTGTGAGCAAAAGTTAGTTGTTGTCCCTACTGTGTGTGTGTGTGTGTGAGTTAGTTGTTGTCCTCACTGTGTGTGTGTGTGTGAGCAAAAGTTAGGTTGTTGTTGTTACGAACCCTCCACCCAGCACTACGAAGCACGCCATCTATTGTCCCTCATGTACCCAGGCACCACGAGCAACGCCATCTAGGGACGAGACACGAGTATGACTCCGTCTTAGTTACCACTCCGAGGTTTCCTTTCTCCCTATCCTGGTTGTTATGTCACCTCCTCAAAGTCTCTTTGTCAGCTCCACCTGGAGGAGAGAGCACTCTGGTTCTGGGAAGTGACCACAGGATCATCTATCCTCCCAAAACCTACGTGCAGTGACCACCACCGTCTCTACAATACTCAGCATTACTCGTCAGCCATCTCAGCCTCACTTAAGTACTAGTATCTTGTATTAATTTCCCACGTCCACTTTGCTTTTGAGATTGTTTTATGTTTATTAATATGTATATACTGTTAATGTTTAGGTTAAGTTTGGTTAAGGGTAATTTATAAGCTGAATATTTTGTTAAGGGATTTATGGTACTCTATTATATACAACGAAAACTCGCATCCTTTGTCTACCCTTTTATAGTCCGATTGTCTTTGTTTTGTTTTTTTATTGTTGTTACCTGTTGGGATCTGGGTAGACGTATAACTATATTCTAAATCCCCAACTCGTAACATTGTCCTCACTGTGTGTGTGTGAGCAAAAGTGAGTTGTTGTCCTCACTGTGTGTGTGTGAGCAAAAGTTAGTTGTTGTCCTCACTGTGTGTGTGTGTGAGTTGTTGTCCTCACTGTGTGTGTGTGAGTTAGTTGTTGTCCTCACCGTCTTTGTAAGTCACTTAACAACACTTATACTTTACTCATAAGTCACTTACACTTCCTACTGTCATGAGTCATTAACTTTGTTGACTCAGTGAGTCATCTGTCACGGTGAGGTGACAGGTGAGGTGACAGGTGTGGTGACAGGTGAGGTAACATACCCCCCTCCCCCCACAGGACCCTCCAGCAGACCCTCACAGAAGGAGGTGGCGGACACGGAGGAGGAGGAGAAGACGACCCTACAGGCGCGGGAGGACGTGTACACCACCGTCAGGAGGCCCGCGCCCACGCCTCCCCACCAACACGACAACACTGGTACTGTGACGTCACTCTTAACACAACAGCTGTAAACTACCGTGTCCTTAGCTTGTAAACCAGTAAATGTAAACAATATTGTTTACAACTTTACCACCATACATCTGTAAACAACTTTAGTTCACACCTCCAAATACCTATAAACACCTTGGTCCAGCCCTCAACATGTGTACCTCAGACAGATGTTGGTCCGTTGGTCCAGCCGTCACACAGATCTTGGTCCAGCCTTCAGATAGATGTTGGTCCCTTGGTCCAGCCTTCAGACAGATGTTGGTCCCTTGGTCCAGCCGTCAGGCAGATGTTGGTCCCTTGGTCCAGCATTAACACTTGTCTGCGACACAGCTGTCGCTGCCTGGCGGTGTTGTTGTGGTAGTCAAGCTTCATATGGTGGTCACTATAAGTTTTAACTCAGAGGTTCTCCTCACCTACAGGAGACTACAGCGAGGAGGACCTTTACCCCTACGCCACGGCCACCTTCCAGATGGGCGGAGGCAGCCCGCCGCCCCCTGCTCCGCCCTCCCCGCCCACACACGCCCACCACCCACAACCACGTGGGCAGAAGGCCTTCACCGCCCTCGTCTACCAGGCGCCGTCACTACACGATGTTGACTCCCCCAATCTGGTAAGATGCCGGTACCTGTACCACTACCAGGTACAGTACCAGGTGCTGTACCACTACCAGGTACAGTACCAGGTGCTGTGCCACTACCAGGTACACTACCTGATGCTGTGCCACTACCAGGTACACTACCAGGTGTGTACCACCAGAAGGTACGCTACCAGGTGGCTGACAGTGTTGTTGTTTACACCATCAGCTGACAGTGTTGTTGTTTACATCGAAGTTATTGTTTACAGAGTGAGGTAGACAGCCGGGGGTCAGGTCGAGGGGGGGTGAGCTACGAGGGGGAGCACTACAGTGGGGTGTTGACCCCCCAGGCTGACCCCCGCCCCCCTCCTCACCACCGCCGCCCCCTCAGACACCTCCGGACCAGTAGGTTTGTCACACTCTCTCACCTGTCACCCCCACCTGTCACCCCCACCTGTCACTCCACCTGTCATAACATGTCATAACACCTGTCACCCCACCTGTTATAACACCTAAAACACACTCACCCGTCACCCCACCTGTCATACTCTCACCTGTCACCCCACCTTTCACCCCACTTGTCATAACACCTGTCACCCCACCTGTCATACCACCTGTCACACTGTTTGCACCTGTCATACAACGTCATCTGTTCATACTGTTAAATGTTGTATATATCTTTATTTAATGCACCAGTAGATGAGTATACAAATCGACTCTCTCTCTCTCTCTCTCTCTCCTACAGAATCCCCCGCAATGTCCGTTTCCCCTAAGACGAGGCGTACTCAACCCCAGCAGCAGCACCTTCAGCGCCTACAGCATCTACAACAACAACAGCAGCACTATCAGCATCCCCAACAACCACCACAACCACAACACTACCAACAACCACAGAGTCAACACCAACATCCTCTTCCTCCTCAACACCAGCACTATCAGCAGCCTCAGCATCACCATCAGCAAATTCAACAGCAACGAACTCTACGGCCTGCCTGTCATCCAAGGTACTGATAGCCATTACCACTCACACACACACATACACACACCACTTTACAGGTCATTTTCACTACCAATCATTAAAAAAAGGACACAAAAATATACCCTATTGAACCTCATTCATAAAGGTTAAAAGGTCAATAATGAGGAGAGTACAGGTGAGATAATACAGGTGTGGAAGATTCATTCATAATATTGACTGTTTTGTTTACAATCTGACTTTCATTCATTCTCTTATTACAATGTTTACTTCCAGGCAGGTGTGAGTGAGAGGAGGTGGGCGTGGTCATCCTACACACAGGTCAACAAAGAGGTCAAACATCACGCGTCATAAGAGGTCACTACAGCTGTGACCTCCTCCTTCTCTTCTTTAGAATGTCACTGTGTAAACAAGATCTTCCTGGAAAGTGAAATGTCTTCCTGGATGAGTCAAGAACTTCCTCGACAACGTGTGATCTTCCTGGACATTAAGAAGTCTTCCTGAATCAGACAGTTCTTCACGTGGACGGAACGTATCTGTCTAAGAGTACATGTGCGTGTCTGTAGGAGTGTATGTGCGTGTCTGTAGGAGTGTATGTGCGTGTCTGTAGGAGTGTATGTGCGTGTCTGTAGGAGTGTATGTGCGTGTCTGTGGAAGTACATGTGCGTGTCTGTAGGAGTGTATGTGCGTGTCTGTAGGAGTGTATGAGTGTGTCTGTGGAAGTACATGTGCGTGTCTGTGGAAGTACATGTGCGTGTCTGTAGGAGTGTATGTGCGTGTCTGTAGGAGTGTATGTGCGTGTCTGTAGGAGAGCACGAGTGTGTCTGTATAGTCCTTTGGTAATGTCTGTGTGTCTGTTAAATATAAAGAAATTAACAATCACCCGTGTTAAAAATGTTACATAATGGACTGTGTTATTTCTGTACAATTGCTACAAGTTGTTGAATATTACAAGAGAATATTGAATTAATGTTTTATGTTAATGTGAGCAAGATGGTTATGAGGTATATGGTTTTAGAGGAATATTGATGGATAATAACATAAAAAAATATCATGTTTGAGTGAATTTGTTGCTATCGTTGAAGACTGCAGTTAAATGTTGCACGTGTTGCCTGTCTGCGATGTTGATATAAATATGTTGATATCGAATGTGTATATAAAGTTTTTGGGTGATGTTGATAAATATTACAAGATGAACAAGAGCTGTGGTGAATGTGTTAGTTTATTGTGGAAATTGGTGAATAATGTTGCTATAAGTTGTTGAGTATTGCAATAAAATGTTGCATATGTGGCTTTGTGTATCTCAATATGTGCAAGATGTTGACAAGGTATATGGCTTTTGAGAGATACTGATGACTACTGAACGATTAACAGTTACGAAAACTGACTTAAATTGTTGCCAAAAAAATAAACATTGCAGTAAATGTTGCATATCTTGCTTACCTGTTATCTCAATGTATATAGATGTTAATAATGGATGTTTATCATTTTCTGGAGAGATGTTTTGATGACAATGTTAAAATGAATGGCTGTGTTTACTGAGGGAACTAATTGCTACGGATTGTTGAAAATTGCAATTGGATGTTGCATATATATTGCTTAGCCTGTTAATATAAGCAAGATGTTGATAATGTTGGTTATAGTTTCTGAGAGATGTTGATGGATGTTCAGGTGATAATTGTGATGGGGAGGTGAGGTGTTGCTACAGGTTGCTGACGATTGCATTATATTGTTGCACCTCTTGCTTTGTGTGTTATCCTAACCCCTTGAGTACGATAATTTAAACCCTTGAGTACGACGACTTATACCCTTGAGTGCGACGACTTATACCCTTGAGTACGACGACTTATACCCTTGAGTACGATGACCTAACCCCTTCAATAGACTTAACGTATTTTTGGGTCAATATCTAGAACATGGTATAATTCTCGTGACCTTAATATCCAAAGGTCGAAGGTTCGGGGTCAATTAAATAAAAAATTAATAAAAATTGGTGAAAAATTTGATTAGTAATGAGTGTAAATTTATATATATACACCTGTACACATCCTCAAAGACATAACTTATACAATACAGGAAGACCCCTTGTTAAATATATATATACAAACTGGTGTGTTTATATACAATTAGTGATATATTTAGATTTTGTAAGTATATATATATAGGATATGAAATTATAGACGTTCGTGTGTGATATAGGTTATTTTATACGATATATAACTCATGAGCTATTATAGATGTTTGTGCTTATAGCTCTTTTAATATAGGTGATGAAGGTGATACTGTTTAGGTCATCTGTCTGTCTGTCTGTCTGTCTCTCTCTCTCTCTCTCTCTCTCACTGGTCTTAAGGTGTTGTGTTGGGAAGGTAAACTAACTAGCATATTGAAGGGTTGAAGGAAGGGACAGTGTATATGTTTATTTGAGGTCCAACAACAACAACAACAACAAAAACAACAATAACAACAACAATACAACATCATCAACAACAACAACATCATCAACAACAACAACATCTTCAAACAACAACATCATCAACAACAACATCAACTTCAACCAAAAAAAAAATACAATTCAAACCACAGCAAAAACAATAACAACAAAAACATCACAACAACAATTTACACTAATAAAACGGTATTATGTAACATTTTTGTATCTTTTCTGTATGAATTTTGTAACATACAACTGTAAGCATGAAGTCCTGTATGGCACTGTAGTATTAAATAATATAATATGTATAATTCATGTATTCTACCCGATACATGAAGATTACTGTAATGGCATGAATTTCCAAACTACATAATTTCTGTATTTTATATATGTATTTTACCAATTACAAGACTCTAGATATCTAAAGCATGCTGTAAGTATGCTATGTATCGTATGTATAATTTATGTACAGCTCAAGCATCATACACCAGATACAAAAAATCCGGTGTATATTACATTTTGTATGACTGTAGAAATCGTATCACACAACTGTAACCAAAATAAGTGAACTTTACACACCTGTGAGCTTTAAACTGTATGATTCTGTATGTTGTATTTTTTTGTATAAACTTGTATGTTGCTACTAAATGTATACGTAACTGGATTAGTGTTTTGTATTATTCGTTCTGCGACTTGAGTGAGAACAAGGAGGAAATACAGTATATTTTGTAACCTGTATTTGATTGTCCTTCATGAGTATGGTGACAGGTGTGATGGGATACAGATGTGGTGGGGACAGGTGTGGAGGGATACAGGTGTAGAGAGAGACTGGTGTGGAGATAAGGAAAATGAGAGAGAGAGAGAATGTTCACCGTTAAAGAATAAAAGGTAAATAAATAAATTAAATCTGTTTCTTCATCTACCTAATTATAAATCGGAAAAAAATCTGGTGCCTCATATCAGAAAATACAAAACAATCTGTTATTTTCTTCATAAATCATAAGAAAATCTGAATTTAAACAACTCAAAAATAACTGTTTTCACCAAATCAAATTCTACCCCCACCAAAAAAAATCTGGCTAAAAAATCAGCAAAATCTGTGTTTTTTCATCATAAATAAAATTAAGGCTAATCTGAATTCCTCCCACCAGAAACCTCCTAAACCTGTGTGTGTGTGTGTACGTAACTCTGTGTACGTGTGAGTGTGTATCCCCGTGTGTGTGTGTCTTTGATGCTTAATAGACTCGGTTTACACACATGTACTGGTGTGTTAAGAGGCTTTGAGGTCAGGTCAAGTCAGGTCCCAATACAACACAGGTTAATTAAAGAAGAATTTTAAATACAGGTGAACTTAATTAATATTACCGGTCACCAGATGGCATTCACCTCATCCTGTGTTTTATCATTGTTCAACTAATTTAAAACGGTAATATAAAGCAAGATTTTAATCAGTAAATTCTAACACATAAATGCCATGAAAAACCCTGTATATTTTTAAACTGCAACCTTCCTAGTAATTCAATAACAAACTAGTAATAGCAATAGTAAGTCCTGTACGTATTTTTACATGTCACAAATTAGTAGAGTATATTCAAACGTCTAAATAAATGAAAATATTACTGTATTGTGTTGACTCGAACGGCATCAATGGAAGAGAGTGGTTCAAACTCCGGCTATTAACACGAATCTTCCAATAACCTTCGTAATAAACACCCGAACCGAATAGCATACAGTACGTTTGGTTAACTAAAACAAATCATTTTAAATAACACGAATGTTTAAACAATATATTCGTTATTAATCTTTGCAGGTGGGGGTTGATATGCTCAGATATGTTACGTGTTACTAGTGATAACTCATATGCCAGTATATATCATGCATGGTCTCGTATTGTTCCCTACAAAGTTTTAGCTACTGTAAGTACAAACGCCTATTTAGTAACCACCTAATCACCATTATAAACTATCAACACACAGTTTGAGAATAGTTAATAATTTTCAATCTAAAATCGTAAATAAATGTAAGAAATAAGTAATTGTTGTTGTACTTACGAGATTAAATGCCTCGTGTCTTGAGCCGCTGGGTGATGACGTCAGTTTCAAGATGTTCCAATATTTTTTTTTTTTTCACAAACATTATTTTCTATTAACTTTGTCTGATTTATCACTTTGATTCACTACTAATATTCGAATATTTAAGTAATATATGGTTTATTATGCGTTAGTCAGAAAGAAAAGGAGACGGCGTACAATGAGAGACAAAAGTCGTGTCCTGAAATTTGGTGAAAACAAAATATACCGAAGGGGTCAACTTTTGGTGCACTCTGCCTTGTGGTAGGGAGCTCTCATGATGCTTCAAGAGTTATATTTAATCTTAGGACAAATCAGCGACACGACTTTTGTCTTTGATTATACATCCCACGGAACGCAACTGGACACGACTGCTCACCGCCACGTCCAAAACAGCACTGACCCTGGACGAGTGACGTCACGAATGTGCCACCACTCAATGGTCGTGATGTCTGCCTTCTGCACCAACTCCCGACGACAAAACTGCCTTAGTAAATTCTTATATAATTGCATCATGGTTTAGTAAATTCTTATATAATTGCATCATGGTTTAGTAAATTCTTATATAATTGCATCATGGTTTAGTAAATTCTTATATAATTGCATCATGGTTTAGTAAATTCTTATATAATTGCATCATGGTTTAGTGAATTCTTATATAATTGCATCATGGTTTAGTAAATTCTTATATAATTGCATCATGGTTTAGTAAATTCTTATATAATTGCATCATGGTTTAGTAAATTCTTATATAATTGCATCATGGTTTAGTAAATTCTTATATAATTGCATCATGGTTTAGTAAATTCTTATATAATTGCATCATGGTTTAGTAAATTCTTATATAATTGCATCATGGTTTAGTAAATTCTTATATAATTGCATCATGGTTTAGTAAATTCTTATATAATTGCATCATGGTTTAGTAAATTCTTATATAATTGCATCATGGTTTAGTAAATTCTTATATAATTGCATTATGGTTTCATAGAGAAATGAACTATAGGAATCTTCCCCTGGAAAACCAGTTAATTTTTGTAAATGTTGGCAAAATGACAATAGCTATATTCTTACTATAATTAGGCCAATATATAAATACACCTTGTCAGTATATTTGGGGACACAAATTATTAAGGGTTATTGTCATATTCCACACAGCACAAGTGTGGAAGGGTTTTCCACACTAGCCGACGACAGTCCAGGAAATGGCAACGCTGTTCCTCAAAATAAGGCAGTTCGGTTGTTTACCAATAAGCCATTCTTCATATCAATATTATTCCTCCAATTCTTACAATATATAGAGAATATATGGCGACTTAAAAGCCTTATAATATAACACTAAACGATTATATAGTTATTTTAGTTTACACATAATTGAGGTATAAATAAAACCATATAAGAAAAGGTAAGTTTATTCACCTCATATACCGCGATAAGAAAACAACGGTATACACCCATAATAAACACCCAGCTTGTATACATTAAAATATATACAGTTCCGGTATACACGGGACGAGACACTGTCAAGTATAGTATACACTGTAAGGTTAAACATACACAGGTTAGTATATGGGTATACTTGATATGATGGTACAATATAGTGACGCTCCAGGTATAAGCTTTGGTGATTAGGGCCCCTGTATGTATGTATGTATGTATGTATGTATGTATGTATGTATGTATGTATGTATGTATGTATGTTTTCTGTAGAGTAAAAATTTATAACAACGAGAGTTTGAAGTTTGTTTACATACTTACATAGACAAATAGTTAAGAAATGTGCTTAAATAATGCCTATACACAAATTTGATGATGATGATGATAATGACGATGATAATGATGATTAAAGGTCAATTTAATGATTGATAACTAAGTGAGGATAACATAGCCCAAATAATTGTTATCACTGTAATGTTATCTGTGTAATAATATGAATACAGGTTATCTCAGGTGTTATAATTAAGTGCTAATGATAACACCTTCACTTACATGTTATCCCAAGTATGATAACTAATGAATTACAATGATAATATGAATAATTACAGTTTAATAAAGTTGATTACACTTGCTGTTATGGTTTGAAGGAGACAAGGATGATAACATGACATCATAACATAACACCTCGAAGGAAAAAATAACATACTCCACAATAAATAAAATTACTGTTATTATCATTATTCAATTTAATACACAACTTTGTATTTTCTTAAACAATTAGTATTAGATATTTTATTAATACTGTTTTAATACACATATTTGAATATAATGTATATGTATAAATTATCATTCACTGTTGTAATGTATATGTATAGTGTAGTTATCCTGTTTATACACCGCTATATACACCTGGATTTTTTATTGATTATGTATTGTAGATGATGAAATACCGAAATACAAGAGTATTGTATATCAACTGTAGCCTACAGTCCACAACAACAGGTTACAGTTAAAATATACAGTGGATTTGTTTGTATTTTAACTCCTCTTACAGCGGGGATTTCAGTGGTATGAATTACATGGTATTACATAACTTATTCATTTTCTTTAATCATACATATCCATAGATTGTGTATTTCTCTCTATATTGATACACAATTATGTATCAATGTCATAAATATATATCCTTTTAATACACATGCATGTACACATTAAATGATTATGAATTTTCTTAATACACAGGTATGTATACAGTATATAATTGTTGAGTTTTAATACACAAGCATGTATACATATTACTTGTTAATTGTTTGTATACACATTGAGAAAATATCATACTTATTGTCTTGAGAAACAGTTATGTATACGTAGAATTATTATTCGTTTATTAATACATGTTTATGGATAATGTATATTCACCCACTTGGCTTATTCCCTGTATACATACAGTATAAACACCATGGAGGACAATAAGAACTGGAAGATTCAATAAACAAAGGAACATCAACTCTGTAGGGGACAATGACAGGAAGATTCAATAAACAAAGGAACATCAACTCTGTAGGGGACAATGACAGGAAGATTCAATAAACAAATGAGCATCAACTCTGTAGGGGACAATGACAGGAAGATTCAATAAACAAATGAGCATCAACTCGTTAAGTCAGCCATCACAGATCTCCATCACTAAACGTACATAGAAACCTTTTGTATATTTATAATTACAAAAATGTCAGGATTTTCAGAAACGTATAATTTTTTTCCTCGTAACTGAAGGTTTAAAAATGTCTTTAACTGGTTTATTGAAGTTAAAAACAAAAGAATATCGTTAAAGTTATATCAGACTTGCCCTGTGATTTTACCTTAACTAGATACGTTCTCTTAACACATATCTAGTTAAGCTAAAGTCTCCGAGCAAGTTTGATGACATTTTTAACCAGTTTTCGTGTTTTATCTTAAGTTACGAGTAAAATTTATCATACGAGTCTTAGTGAATCTAGTGGAACCATTTACCTATATACAGTACATCAAGTTTGGTCATATATCTCAGACATTTATATATACACATTCATCTCAAAAAAATAAACTTCCATTAAAACATCACAATTTTTATCATAATTTCACAGTTAAGAAGTTTATAACCACTTCTGTACAGTAAATTGTATTGTGGCAGTTTTCAAAGAGGTTATTGTTGTTGTATGATTATTAGTATTTCCCCAATGTTCCAATAATATCAGCAGCAGACACATACACACAGCTAAAACTCAGGAAAAGTATCATTTAAACTGTTTTATCTTTTAACTGAGGTTCTTGTAAATCATTTCCCTTAAGATACACTACGTTTAATATTTTCTTTGTTTTAAAACTTTACTTTAAAGTTTCCCTCTCGGTTAAAGTTCTAAAAAGTATTATTATTTGAGATCAAGTTCCCGTGGGTAATTATTTTCTGGGGCTTAACCATTAGTCCTTATTTCTGTTGGGGGAGATGAAGGACTTCTGGGTATACAATTGGGTTAAAATATTCAGTAGAAACCCTTTTCATCTGGGAGGGGAAGAGAAAGGGTTAATTACCTTTCTCTCCCTTTCTTTAGTTTAAACTTTCTTCCTGGATCAAGAAAATTAGTCACTTTCTTAAACTACACTTTCTATTTATTTCGTTTTTCCATCTCACTTTCTTCTTGACTTTCTCTTCATTTTCGTCTCTTATGTAACTCTCTTTTTCATTTTCTATCCATCTTCGTCACTCACAAACTTGCTTTTTTAATTTTCTTTTGATTTTCGTCTCCCACATATCACTTTCTCTCAACACACAAAAAACTTTCTCTCCAGATGGCAATAATGCAACGGGACTTTCACTCGTGTGTTTACTCGTGTCAGAGTTAGTCCACTTTCTCTCTGTTTCATTTTCTTCATTTTTTATGCATTTTTTTTTCTTGATTTTTGTAGACTGCTTCCGTCATTACCGTCACATTGCCACCGTCACACTGCTTCCGTCATTACCGTCACATTGCCACCGTCACACTGCTTCCGTCACTGTCACCGTCAAACCTGTCACACCTCACACCTGTCTAATTATAAATATCACAAATAAAAAATAAATAATCTACCTGACAGTAAACATAGAAAAGACATAATTACTAATACGCAAAATTAAAAAAAAAATACCATACGAATTTTACATCAATTTTTAGGTACAATTCATTCAATTCAAAACTCAAACTTTGACTTTACTGATATAAGGTTTTTTATATGAGGGATATGTAATTTTCAGTTCATATTAACATAGAGAATAATTAAACCACCTTTAGTACACCTTGAATGACCAGGTTAATGACTATACCTTATTAGAATTTGACTTACCTGGTGTATGGCGTAGGGCGAATAGTTTGCTGTTTTTGCTGTGCTTTTTGCTGTTGTTGTTGAGGCTGTTGGTAGTGCTGTTGCTGTTGTGGGTACTGATAATGTTCCTGTTGTTGCTGTTGTTGTTGTTGTTGGTAAAGCTTTTGTTGTGGTTGTTGTGGTTGTTGTGGTTGTTTCTGTGGGTACTGATACTGTTGTTGTTGGTATTGGTACTGTAGTTGTTGTGGTAGGCGCTGTAGGTGGTGTTGTGGTTGTGGTCTTGGTATCTTAGGGGAAGTGGACGTTACGGGGGGTTCTGTCAGATGAAGAGTTAACATTGTGTGGGAATTATATACATACATTGATTATGAGTCTGTCTGTCACTCTGTCTCTCTCTGTATGTGTCTGTCTGTATGATTCTCTGTCTGTTTGTCTGTCACTCTGTCTCTCTCTGTATGTGTCTGTCTGTCTGATTTTCTCTCTTTCTCTGTCTGTTTGTCTGTCACTCTGTCTCTCGATCTATTTCTGTCTGTCTCACTTTCTCTCTCCGTCTGTATCCCTCTTTGTCTGTCTCAAACTATCTGTCTCTTTTTCTGTTTGTCTTTGTCTGTCTCTATCTGTGTGTTTGTCTCTCTGCCTGTCTCTTTATCTCTCTGTCTTTCTTTGACTGTCTCTTACTCTATCTGTCTGTCTGTCTGTCTGTATGTCTGTCTGTCTGCCTGTCTGAATTTAGTACAGAAAACGACCCTCCCTTATCATCAACAGAGGCATGACATGACAACTTGAGAGAATCCCTTGACATGACATGACAGACTCTACAACTACATGACATGACAGCCTCAACTACATGACATGACAATAAAGTACAAGTTTTGAACCTCTTGACATTAATACATCAAATCACGCTACGAGGACAGTAAACTCTCCCAATACCGGACTAATTATTGCAAGTAATGTCAGTTATTGGGAGGATTCCGTTATTGAGAAGTCCGTTATTGAGAGGATTTACTGTACTATTGGTATATAATTAAGAGTATATAGTATATGGTAAAGGGTGATATATGATACACGTGGTAGTATATTGAGTGTGGTGACAGGTGGGATGACAGGTGGGGTGACAGGTGTGGTGACAGGTGGGGTGAGAGGTGGGGTGACAGGTGGGGTGACAGGTGTGGTGACAGGTGTTATGACAGGTGGGGGTGACAGGTGAGAGAGTGTGACAAACCTACTGGTCCGGAGGTGTCTGAGGGGGCGGCGGTGGTGGGGAGGGGGGCGGGGGTCAGCCTGGGGGGTCAACACCCCACTGTAGTGCTCCCCCTCGTAGCTCACCCCCCCTCGACCTGACCCCCGGCTGTCTACCTCACTCTGTAAACAATAACTTCGATGTAAACAACAACACTGTCAGCTGATGGTGTAAACAAGAACACTGTCAGCTGACGGTGTAAACAACAACACTGTCAGCTGATGGTGTAAACAACAACACTGTCAGCTGACGGTGTAAACAACAACACTGTCAGCTGACGGTGTAAACAACAACACTGTCAGCTGACGGTGTAAACAACAACACTGTCAGCTGATGGTGTAAACATCAACACTGTCAGCCACCTGGTAGTGTACCTGGTAGTGGTACACACCTGTTAGTGTACCTGGTAGTGGCACAGCACCTGGTACAATACCTGGTAGTGGTACAGCACCTGGTACAGTACCTGGTAGTGGTACAGCACCTGGTACAGTACCTGGTAGTGGTACAGCACCTGGTACTGTACCTGGTAGTGGTACAGCACCTGGTACAGTACCTGGTAGTGGCACAGCACCTGGTACAGTACCTGGTAGTGGCACAGCACCTGGTACTGTACCTGGTAGTGGTACAGCACCTGGTACAGTACCTGGTAGTGGTACAGCACCTGGTACTGTACCTGGTAGTGGTACAGCACCTGGTACTGTACCTGGTAGTGGTACAGCACCTGGTACAGTACCTGGTAGTGGTACAGCACCTGGTACAGTACCTGGTAGTGGTACAGCACCTGGTACTGTACCTGGTAGTGGTACAGCACCTGGTACAGTACCTGGTAGTGGTACAGCACCTGGTACTGTACCTGGTAGTGGTACAGCACCTGGTACAGTACCTGGTAGTGGTACAGCACCTGGTACAGTACCTGGTAGTGGCACAGCACCTGGTACAGTACCTGGTAGTGGTACAGCACCTGGTACAGTACCTGGTAGTGGTACAGCACCTGGTACAGTACCTGGTAGTGGTCTGGCACACCTGGTGCTGTGCCTGATGATGTTGTGCAGCACCTGGTGCTGGCCTGGTAATTGATGCAGCGCAGTAGCAGGTGTACCTGGTAGTGGTACAGCACCTGGTACCAAGAACACGTGGTCAGTGGTACAGCACAGTACAATTGCCTGATGATCCGATACCCACCTGGTAGTGTACCTGGTAGTGGTACACACCTGTTAGTGTACCTGGTAGTGGCACAGCACCTGGTACAGTACCTGGTAGTGGTACAGCACCTGGTACAGTACCTGGTAGTGGTACAGCACCTGGTACAGTACCTGGTAGTGGTACAGCACCTGGTACAGAACGTGGTAGTGGTACAGCACCTGGTACAGTACCTGGTAGTGGTACAGCACCTGGTACAGTACCTGGTAGTGGTACAGCACCTGGTACAGTACCTGGTAGTGGTACAGCACCTGGTACAGTACCTGGTAGTGGTACAGCACCTGGTACTGTACCTGGTAGTGGCACAGCACCTGGTACAGAACGTGGTAGTGGTACAGCACCTGGTACAGAACGTGGTAGTGGTACAGCACCTGGTACAGAACGTGGTAGTGGTACAGCACCTGGTACTGTACCTGGTAGTGGTACAGCACCTGGTACTGTACCTGGAGGTGGTACCGGCATCTTACCAGATTGGGGGAGTCAACATCGTGTAGTGACGGCGCCTGATAGACGAGGGCGGTGAAGGCCTTCTGCCCACGCGGTTGTGGGTGGTGGGCGTGTGTGGGCGGGGAGGGCGGAGCAGGGGGCGGCGGGCTGCCTCCGCCCATCTGGAAGGTGGCCGTGGCGTAGGGGTAAAGGTCCTCCTCGCTGTAGTCTCCTGTAGGTCGAGGAGAACCTCTGAGTTAAAACTTATAGTGACCACCATATGAAGCTTGACTACCACAACAACACCGCCAGGCAGCGACAGCTGTGTCGCAGACAAGTGTTAATGCTGGACCAAGGGACCAACATCTGCCTGACGGCTGGACCAAGGGACCAACATCTGTCTGAGGTACACATGTTGAGGGCTGGACCAAGGTGTTTATAGGTATTTGGAGGTGTCAACTAAAGTTGTTTACAGATGTAAAGTTGTAGACAATATTGTTTACATTTACTGGTTTACAAGCTAAGGACACGGTAGTTTACAGCTGTTGTGTTAAGAGTGACGTCACAGTACCAGTGTTGTCGTGTTGGTGGGGAGGCGTGGGCGCGGGCCTCCTGACGGTGGTGTACACGTCCTCCCGCGCCTGTAGGGTCGTCTTCTCCTCCTCCTCCGTGTCCGCCACCTCCTTCTGTGAGGGTCTGCTGGAGGGTCCTGTGGGGGGAGGGGGGTATGTTACCTCACCTGTCACCACACCTGTCACCTCACCTGTCACCTCACCGTGACAGATGACTCACTGAGTCAATAAAGTTAATGACTCATGACAGTAGGAAGTGTAAGTGACTTATGAGAAAAGTATAAGTGTTGTTAAGTGACGGTGAGGACAACAACTCACACAGACACACACACACACACACACACAGTGAGGACAACAACTCACTTTTCCTCACACAGACACACTGAACACACACACACACACACACAGTGGGGACAACAACTCCCTTTCCTCACACAGACACACACACACACAGTAGGGGCAACAACTAACTTTTCCTCACACACACACACACAGACACACACACACACACACACAGTGGGGACAACAACTCACTTTTCCTCACACACACACACACACACAGACACACACACACACACAGTGAGGACAACAACTCACTTTTTCCTCCTACACACACACACACACACACAGTGAGACAACAACTCCTTTTCCTCACACACACACACACAGACACACACACACACAGTGAGGACAACAACTCACTTTTGCTCACACACACACACACACACAATGACACACACACACACACACACAGTGAGGACAACAACTCACTTTTCCTCACACAGACACACACAGTGGTCACAGTCAGCAGCAGCGCCATGGCGGAGACAGCGGCCGGGACCAACACTCGCGGGTCCTGCCACGCCCCTGAGGTGGAGGGCGCGCTCCCCCACACGCCTCCGCCCACGCCCTTACCCGCGCCTCCTGGGGACCAGGGAGTGGTTAGTGAAGGGGTGGGGTGAGGTCAAGACACAACATTAAGACTGTAGTGTGTGGTCAAGACACAACACGTGGTTGTAGTGTGAGGTCAAGACACAACATTAAGACTGTAGTGTGTGGTCAAGATACAACACGTGGTTGTAGTGTGAGGTCAAGATACAACACGTGGTTGTAGTGTGAGGTCAAGACACAAAACATGGGTGTACCTGGGAGGCCCTGGCCAGGTGTGGTCACGGTGTAGTGGGCGGGTGTGGCTCCTGCAGAGTTGTGGGCGGTCACCCGCAGCTCATAGCGGCCACCTGCGTCCAGCCCGCCCACAGCGAAGGTGCGGGCGGGCGGTATCTCGCTGCCAACTGTAAGAGGCGAGACTGTCTTAACCCAGTTATAGTGATCACTGTACACTATAACACCTATAGGGATCACTGTACACTATAACACCATATAGTGATGACTATACACTATAACACCATATAGTGATGACTGTACACTATAACACCATATAGTGATCACTGTACACTATAACACCATATAGTGATGACTGTACACTATAACACCATATAGTGATCACTGTACACTATAACACCATATAGTGATCACTGTACACTATAACACCATATAGTGATCATACAATAACATTACTAACAGAGATTAAAACATTATAAAAGTTAATAATACAATGTAAACAATGGTAAAATTAACAGTGGTCCACACCTGTGGTCCAGTGGTCCACACCTGTGGTCCAGTGGTCCACACCTGTGGTCCAGTGGTCCACACCTGTGGTCCAGTAGTTCACACCTGTGGTCCAGTGGTCCACACCTGTGGTCCTTACCTGTGGTCCAGTGCCTGGAGGAGTCCCTGCGGTACTGTACACTAAAGTGGGTGATGGTACAGCCGCCGTCCCCCCACTGCGCCAGGTACAGCGTCGCCTGCGAGCTGTTGCTGGTGACGAACTGGAACTGTGGCGGCGCCTCAGGTGGCCGGCCCTTAGTGCGGGCCGCTTCTGTTGAGGAGGCCGTGCTGCTGCCTGCCGGGGCACAGCATGTAAACAATAAATCAACATACTGTACAGTACTTAACACATATTAGGAAGGTGAGTTAAGTCTTGTTTACGTTGTTGTGTGCCAGGTGTGTTACAGGTGTGGTGCTCACCTATGTGGTTGTGAGCCGTGAGGTAGAAGTGGTGCAAGGTGCCGCACCTGAGGCTGGTCACCGTGTAGGAGCGCTGATCACCGTCCACCTCCGCCCTCACCCACTCCCCTCCCGCTGACCTGGTGACAACACCATAGTTATTGTGCTGCTGCACCATTATTACTCACCTCTGCACCACAGTAGAGTAGATTATAGTGCAGTACAGTACAGTACAGTACAGTACAGTACAGTCTAGTACAGTACAACACAGTACAGTACAGTACAGTCTAGTACAGTACAACACAGTACAGTACAGTACAGTAGAGGAGGCAACACTCACCTGTAGTGGAGTGCGGCCCTGAAGTCATGCCGCCGTGTCCTCCACACTCTGGACCCTGATGGAGGAGGCGGTGGTCTCCGTCACGTGGAGGGTGCTGACGGAGGCACTGTAGTGGTCATGTGTTTGTTGTTAGTATTATTATTATTTATTTATCTTAACATATAAGGTTTATATAACTCTCAGTTAGACACACGTAACACTGAGACACACACACACGTAACACTGAGACACACACACGTAACACTGAGACACACACACGTAACACTGACCTAGCACGGATAAGGTTGTAGGTGACGGCGTCACTGCCGTGGTGGTTGGTGGCGGTACAGGAGTAGTGGCCGCGTCGCTTCTCTGTATGTCTGCCAAGGTGAGCGTCCCAGTCTGGCTGTACCCGGAACCTGTGGACAACAACACCTGTGTACTGTACCACCTGTGTACTGTACCACCTGTGTACCACAACACCTGTGTACTGTACTACCTATGTACTGTACCACCTGTGTACCACAACATGTTACTACGAACCTGTACTGCAGTACTACCACCTGTGTACACCTGTGACCTGTTAATCATCACAGCAACACAGTTCAGCCTCACAACAAACCTCTTGGTATATCTGTAACAGGTGTGATAATAACAATAATTTATCATCCACACCTGTCACACCTGTTTCGACTCAGCTGTCATGGGTGAGACTCAGCCAAGCCAGGGTGAGACTTAGCTGTCGGGGTTTGACTCACCTGCACTTGTCATGGGTGAGACTCCTCAGCTGTCAAGTAGGTAAGACTCGGCGTCACGCTGAGACTCACGTCCTCATTCAAGCCGCCGTCAAATTCGGCTCACCGACCACACACCTGTGGGTGAGTGTTACCGTGACACTGTCACTCATGCCCACCGACGAGACCCCGCTGTCATGGGGCGTGAGCTATAGTGATAAGACTCACGCCAACAGACCACACCCAGCAGCCAGTGGAGTGAGTCAGATTCATGATGACACTCACGCCCACACACCACATGCAACGGCACACATCACATGCAAACTCAAGATCCGCCAGGCCACCAGCGGGCGTGTGTTCAGTGATAACTCGCCCACACCCACGCAGCAGCCACTGGCGGGCCAGCTTGTAGCCAACCCACCACAACAGCGACCGATACTAACTCACGTCCTCCCACCAAAGCCGCCGTCACGTTCCCGCCCACCGACCACACGCCCGCGGCCACTGTGGGTGTGTTTTATAGCGATACTGTTACTCACGCCCACCGACCACACGCCCAAGGCCACTGTGGGCGTGTTATAGTGATAATGCTACTCACGCCCACCGACCACACGCCCCCGGCCACTGCGGGCGTGTGTTATAGTGATAATGTTACTCCGCCCACCCCCACCACCCGCGCCCTGTGGCGTGAAATGATTTACCGCACACCACCCACATGATTTCGCCCACCCCCACACACGGAATGTAGCGTGTAACAGATGATAATGTTACTCACGCCCACCCACCACACGCCGCGGCCACTGTGGGCGTTACTGATAATGTCACACGCCCACCCACCACACCCGCAGTCCAGGGCGGTGAAAGTAATAATGTTACCCACCCCCCCACAAGCCTCCGGCCACTGCGGGCGTGTGTTATAGCGATAATGATACTACGCCCACCACCCACACGCCCTCAGCCACTGTGGGCGTGTTATAGTGATAATGTTACTACGCCCACCCACCACACCCTCGGCACTGTGGGCGGTGTTATAGTGATAATGTTACCACGCCCACCCACCACAAGCCCTCGGCCACTGTGGGCGTGTGTTATAGTGATAATGTTACTCACGCCCACCCACCACACGCCCTCAGCCACTGTGGGCGTGTGTTATAGTGATAATGTTACTCACGCCCACCCACCACACGCCCGCAGCCACTGTGGGCGTGTATTATCAGATAATGTTACACGCCCACCCACCACACGCCCGCGGCCGCTATGGGCGTGTGTTATGTGATAATTTACTCGCCCACCCACCACAAGCCACGCAGCCCGTGGCGTGTTTATAACCCGGCCACTGTAAGCGTGTTATAGTGATAATGTTACTCCGCCCACCACCACCCTCAGCCACTGTGGGCGTGTGTTATATGATAATATACTCAACCACCCACGTAAATATTTATAATATCTTACTCCGCCACCCACCACACGCCCGCGGTCACTGTGGGCGTATTAATACTCCGCCCCCACCACACGCCCGATACTATGGGCGTGTGTTATAATTCACCACCACCCACGCCGCATACTGTGGGCGTGTTATAATGTCTCCGCCCACCCACCACCGCCGCAGTCTGTAGGCGTGTGACTCCCGCCCCGCACGCCCGTAATGGGCGTGTGTGTAATGATACTCACGCCACCACCACGCCGCGGTCACTGTGGGCGTGTTTATAATATTTCCGCCCACCAACCACACGCCCGCGCCACTGGGCGTGTGTATATGCTCTTTACACGCCCACCGACCACACGCCCGTAACTATGGGCGTATAATGATACTCACGCCCGACCACCCCCGTACTATAGGCGTGTGTTATAAATACTCGCCCCACCGACCACACGCCCGTAGCCACCATGGGCGTGTGTTATGAATACTCCGCCCACCGACCACACGCCCGCGGCCACTATGGGCGTGTGTTATAGTGATACTCACGCCCACCCACCACCCACAGGTACTGACAGTGGGCGTGTGTAGCTTTATACGATTTATTAATATAATCACCAAACATGTGCGTGTGTAGATGTAAACATAGTGTACATGTGTACGTATGGACGTACCTGTGTGTGTGGAGCTTGACCACGGCCACCTGCTCGCGGGACCTTCACACATCCTGGTGGACGCCGTCACCCACACCTGTAGACACACCTGTTACTCCACACACCTGTAAGACACATCTACCCAACTGTAGACACACCTGTTACTCACCACACCTGTAACGTACTCTACACCTGTTATTCACCCACACCTATAAAACACACCTCACTCACCCACACTTGTAAGACACACCTATTATTACACACACTTATAAGACACACCTGTCACTCATCCACCTGTTCGTCACATGTTAACTGCCCACCTGTTGGCACACCTGCACTCACACATACCTGTAAGACACACCTGTTATTCACCCACACCTGTGTAAACACACCAAAATGTAGGGTCAGGTGTTAGTACTGACCTGGTGTGTGGTGTGAGACAGGTCATAGTAGGGTCAGTGTTAGTACTGACCTGGTGTGAGACAGGTCATGTAGGGTCAGGTGTTAGTACTGACCTGTGTGTGGTGTGGACAGGACATCATGTAGGAGTCAGGTGCGTCAGGTGAGGCTCCACACGGCGGCTGTGGGCGGAGCCACGCCCACTGCTGGTTCCCAGTGGACGGTGTGGCAGCTGATACGCCCGTGTGGGCGTGCGGGCAGCGCCCACGACACTACGGCTGCCCGAGGACCCGACACTGTGCCTTCACCCTCGCCGGCGCCTGGCACTGTGAGGGAGGAGGTGTTACTGTACTGAGGGAGGAGGTGTTACTGAGGGAGGAGGTGTTACAACAACACACAAACCACAACCAACAAACACAACAAACAAGAGGTGTTACTTTAGGAGGAGGTGTTACTGAGAGTGTTACACAAGAGTGTTACTGGTAGGAGGTGTTATATCAATTAACAACGTTCAACAAAACAATAACATTATGTTCTCATTATTGTTAAAATATTACGACTGTTTCTGCTTGACCAAACACTTGTCTACTACTTGTATGGGTTATAGTAGTAGTAGTAGTAGTCATCGTCATAGTAGTAGTGACAGTAGTAGTAACTCACCGTCTGGTCAGTAGTACACACAAGGGGTGGGAGTGTACACCTTCCCCAGCTCTGGTTGACGCCGCCACAGTCACCGTGTAGTTGGTCCAAGGTGTCAGACCAGCTACTGTGGCTCTCAACCCTTCTGACACCACGCTGCCACTCCTCCCTGTGACACATGACACATTATTCTACCTGACACCACACTCTGACACATGACACAACAACAGGGTATAAGTAATTCAGATAAAGACTTAGAAATATTACACGAAAACAAGAAATATATCAGATGAACACAGAGGAACACACTACAGACTGAACAACAGTGATTAATACTGAGAAACATTTAAGTAAAATAAGTTGTGACCAACACAGAAGGAACACACTACGAGCTGAACAACGTGATTATTACTGAGAAACATTTAAGAGTAATAATAAGTTGTGACCTAACACAGAAGAACACACTGAGCTGAACAACGGTGATTATTACTAGAAACATTTAAAATAATAAGTTGACTAACCAGAACACACTACAGGCTGACCAACAGTGATTATTACTGAAACATTTAAGAGTAATAATAAGTTGTGACCTAACACAGAGGAACACACTACAGGCTGAACAACGGTGATTATTACTGAGAAACATTTAGAGTAATAATAAGTTGTGACTAACACAGAGGAACACACTACAGCTGAACAACGTGATTTACTGAAACATTAAGTAAAATAAGTTGTGACCTAACCGAGGAACACACTACGAGCTGAACAACGGTGATTATTACTGAAACATTTAAGAGTAATAATAAGTTGTGACCTAACACAGAAGAACACACTACGAGCTGAACAACAGTGATTATTACTGAAAACATTTAAAGTAATAATAAGTTGTGACCTAACAAGAACACACTACGAGCTGAACAACGGTGAATTACTAGAAACATTTAAGTAATAATAAGTTGTGACCTAACCAGAAGAACACACTACGAGCTGAACAACAGTGATTATTACTGAAACATTTAAGAGTAATAATAAGTTGTGACCTAACACAGAAGGAACACACTACGAGCTGAACAACGGTGATTATTACTGAGAAACATTTAAGAGTAATAATAAGTTGTGACCTAACACAAGAGGAACACACTATGTTAAGTTACTATACTGTATGTATGTGTCTGTGTGTACTTGAGGACACTCTCACCGTGGGGAGGCGCAGCAAGGCAGTCACCATGCGGAGGCACTCACCGTGGGAGGCGTGGGAGTAAGCCAGGCGGTAGTTGGTGATGACGCCGTTCCTGTGACGAGGAGGAGGAGGCGACCACGTCACTACCAGGCTTATGACGTCACTCTCACACGTCACGTGACCGGGAGGAGCACTCGGTTCTGTGTGGTGAGGTAGTGAGTGAGAGAAAGTAGAGAGTGAGAGAGAGTGCTATAGGAGAGGAGGCGAGTGTAAGGAAGTGGTGATGGGCAGCTGAAGTGAAGTGAAGTGATTCGTTATATTAAGTGTGGGTATAAGATGAACACACACACACACACACACTCACTGTCGTGTAGGGTGGTGCCCAGGGCGGGAGGTGAGGCAGGTCCGGCGCCCGCATAGAGTTGAAGGCTTGCAGTACGACGGCATAGCGGGCGTGTGGGCGTAGTCCTGCCGGGGTGGCTGTAGTCACGCCCACGCCTTCCGCCCACCGTAGTGAGTTATGCCCCTCCCTCACCCTCACTGCAGGGGAGAAAGTAGAGGTGAGAGAGAGAAGGTAAGAGGTGAGGTGAGGAAGTGAGGTGAGAGAGAGGAACAGAGTTAATTGTCAAAATGGCGTCAATATTGTGAGAGGAGACTCACCTGGCGTCCTTAAGGCCCAGGTGTGTGAGGAGACCTCACCTGGCGTCCTTAAGGCAGGTGTGTGAGGAGACTCACCTGGCGTCCTTAAGGCCCAGGTGTGTGAGAAGACTCACCTGGCGTCCTTAACGCCCAGGTGTGTGAGGAACTCACCTG